CTCATGCTTTGAAAAAAGCATCTAGGGGAAACAGTGTTGCTTGCTCTATAATAGCAAAAATCTCATTAGAAATCACTTCTATACTCCACTTTATAATGTATCATCCAAGTCAGGCCTTAAAAGTGGGGTGGGATGCGAGGGATGGTTATGTCTTTACCTGCAAGGCTGAAAAGCAAAAACAAAACAAAACAAAAGCCAAGTAAATGCATAGTTATGCCTCTAAATTTCTAAGTCTTGTCTCAGAATTTGGTTAGTCTTATACGGAGCCCTCACCAAACCACAGGCAGGGAGGATCCAGCTTCATAAAACACCTACCACTGATCCTGCTGGGCTCAAAGGAGGGAGGTGCTTCCACCAGCAGGAAGGGAGGTAACAGCAGAACCACTGAGCAAGTAAAGCCGCTGGCTGTCCCAGCTGCTTCCTGGACAGTGGCAAATAGATACAGGAGATCAGAAGACACAAGGATGCAGGCAGGTATAAAGCACAGTAGAGAAACAATCTGAAAAGCCTTAGTGGAACCCTGAGAGTAGCTAAGCTTTCAGATTTCTGTCTCTGTTTCATGTGCAAAGCCAGATTATGGGGAGGGAATCAATTTGGATTCCCTATGAGGTCTTTTCTCTCCGTCACTCAGACAGTCTTGCTTCCCCACCAGAGACACTGTGAGAGCCAGATGTACCCTACACGGGCAGAGGTTTGTACCACAGGAGAACTACCCCAAATTATGAATCTTGGGAGTGTCTCCCTTATAAGATCGTTTTAAAGTAGAAATAGCCTCACAATCCTAAAACAGATGAAAGGTCAGACAGACACATTCTCTCCCCAGTTCACATGGACTGTTTAATAATGGTCAAGAAGCAGAACAAGCCCCATTCTTAACCATGTTTTATCATGAATTGCCAAATGACTTATGGCTCTGATGGTGGGGACCTCCACCAAGTAGAAGAAATCAAACCCAGTGGGCTTCCCTGGTGGTGCAGTGGTTGAGAGTCCACCTGCTGATGCAGGGGACACAGGTTCGTGCCCCGGGCCAGGAAGATCCCACATGCCACGGAGCGGCTGGGCCCGTGAGCCATGGCCGCTGAGCCTGTGCATCTGAAGCCTGTGCTCCGAAATGGGAGAGGCCACAACAGGGAGAAGCCCGCGTACTGCAAAAAAACCACAAAACAACAACAACCAAAAATCCCCCAGTATATCAGGAGGCCCAAAGCAGGCACTGAGGACACTTACTGTGGGCGAGCCTCTTACAAATTCTTGGTATAAATTACTATTAAAAATTTTTGGTTTGTGAAGAATATTGCACATGGGGTCCAGGATAAGGGAAGAGTCAGGAAACCTGTCACTGTGCAACACACATGCGAAAATGACCAGAGAACACATTCTTTCAGCATTTAAGTTCTAGATCCACATACATTTTCCTTTCTACAGCAGCCCTAATCACAAATGAAAGATTACTTTCACTTTAAATATTAGCAAAGGTTATTTCCTTGCATGTTTGAGAAACAGATGAAAGGACTGAGTACACACACCCAAAAATACTGGAACCAACTCCTCTCCCCACCTGTCTGCTGTCCTGATTTCTCCAGGTCAGCCACACCCAGGATTCCCCTTTTCTCATGCCGAGGCTTTCAAGTTTTCACAGGTTGGAATGTAGCATGAGCAAACCCAATGATTTTCAGAAGAGAATGATCTTATTTTCCTAAAAGAGCTTTCAGCCTGTCAGACACCTTCAAGGGTATTTTTCATTTTTAGCTTATAGGCATCTAATGATTTTAAAAACCATAAAAATCAAAGCTACCTGTCACTCTTAAATCTTAATGACTTCTAAGTTATGCACGGCATGGTTGACAAGCCAGGTTGGTGTTTTTTCCCCCTATGCTGAGCACTGAGGGCAAAGAAAGCAAGATGCTCTAGTTCTGCCATCTATTAAAAAAGAATAGCCATACTATTCCATTTTGATTCTTTATCACAAATGTATGTCAGGGAGATTAAAACAGTCCCTCTAGTCTTGGAAGACACTTTAGGATGAGGATATTTTTTCTAAGATGATGTGCTGGCAAAGTTATAGCAGTAGTAAGCAAAAATGTGTTTCCAGATCAATCCCTGGAGAAGAACCCATGGACAGTGCAAGGAAAAGGAGCTTAAGTGATAGAATTCAACCTGTAATTTTGAAGAGAGGACGATGGCCCACATAGGTGAAGTGATCTGCCTGAGGCCAAACAGAGCCAAGATGACCCTTCTAGAGTTCAGTGCTCCTGCCCCCACAGCTCTAATCCTCTGTGCACCTCTGCAGGATGCTGCAGTCCTATCAAATATTCTGGGGCTGTGGTTACAGCTATGGGCACTGAGGCTGTAAACAGCAGAGCCTGCAGCTCACCATTCATGCCTGATGATAGGACTAAGTGGAGGTTCAGACGCCTGCCTTAACACACCAGGATTTACTCTGTTAAAATAAAAAAGTGCTGTCAGTACAACACATGTAGGGCATTTCTCACAAGACAAAAAGTTCTGATTCTCCTCTCCTGTAAGACATTCTCAAGCCTGGGTAACAGAAACCACATAGCTCAAACAGCAGCAGTAACACTTAGAAGATGCTCTCCAATAGCAAAATAATGCAAGGCACATATGTCATTTAAAATGTTCTAGCACCCACATCAAAACGGTATAAGAGAAACAGGTAAAATGAGTTTTAGTACCTTATGTAACTTAATATATCAAAAATGTTATTGTTGCAATATATAATTGATACAAAATTTGAGATTTCATTCTAAATGTTACTTACTTAGGGGATCCTCCTTTTAACAGACCTTTTTTTCTGTTTTTACCAAGTGATGTTAAGTAGCAGACATACTCCAGCCCAGACTCACAGTAAAGGCATTTATTGGGCAGGTACCACAGGCTAGATTCATAAAAGGCACTCGCTAGGGACTCAGAACTCCCAAGGCAAGACTAAGGAGGCAGGTTATAGACATGGCACATAGAAGAAAACAGACACCGGAAGATTTTAAGGTCACACAGCTAATAAGTGCCAAGGCAGAAAGAAACCAGATCTGATGGCAACGCCTGTTCTCTTTCTATTCTCTTTGTGCCCCACCTGCTTTCTTGAGAGCCAGTATGTGAAACATTTACATTTACTACATGTGAGACAAAGATCTGGGAAATGCAACAGTGTACAGTTACACCACGTAAGTAACAAATTAATCCCAGGCTTAGTATCCAAGCCAAACTTTTCCTTCCAGTACCATCTACCATACTTTATAAATCCACACCATTCTAGAGTTTTGTGCACTGCATTATTAAAAAAACCACATTGCACCCATTTTCTTAGGTCATTACCCCCAAACACATGTCTTTGACGGCCATAGAGATTTTGATCAGGATGTCCCCTAAACACAAACTCCAGCCGCCTCCCTCTCCCTTTGAACAATCATGTTCATTCAGTCACTCAAAAAATACTGACTGAGCAACCACAGGCCAGGTAGTATTGTGGGTGTTGGGGATAAAGTGGCAAACAGGACATATGGGGTCCATGCCCTCACACGGTTTACATTCTAGAGGGGAAGATGAAAAACATACAGTGTCAGGTGCAGAAAAATGATAGGAAAAATGAAAGGGGAGGGGCATGTAATGATTTTAGTCTATCCTCATTATTTATTAGGTTGAACCACATGAAATTACTGATATTCAACCATTTCTAGCTTACAGAACAGGCAATTTCATTTGGTTCAAGCTAATAGCTTCATTTCATCAGGTAACATTCAATGCTTCTGATGGACTAGGGAATATTTAAATACCTGAAAAGCAGAAGACACACAGAACAGGACTGAATAAACCTTCCTTCCATAACAGTCAAGGTAGGAGAGGCGTTGGGTACAGCGAGCCCAGAGTTAACAGACTGGAAGAGTAGGATGGACTGAGGTGATGGTCGGGGTGAATGGATGGGGGACGCTGATAGGAGCTACCAAGTGGTTTACTCTCTGTGGTTCTTCTCCCCACCGCTCTGGCTCAAGTAGCAGACTGCAGTTACCTGTCTCCATCCAGAGCATTCTGGGAAGTGGTTACTTCCCCCAGGAATGGGAGGTGGGGGCAGCAGGAGGATGGGATCCCTAGGAGACCACCCCTTTTCTTTTTTTTTTTTTTTTGCGGTACGCGGGCCTCTCACTGTTGTGGCCTCTCCCGTTGCGGAGCACAGGCTCCGGATGCGCAGGCTCAGCGGCCATGGCTCACGGGCCCAGCTGCTCCGCAGCATGTGGGATCTTCCCGGACCGGGGCACGAACCCGTGTCCCCTGCATCGGCAGGCGGACTCTCAACCACTGCGCCACCAGGGGAGCCCTTCTTCAACTACTTCTAAATGCAGAGAAAGCCCAGGATCTTGGCAGTCCATTATTGTTCAATATTTTGGTAAAGGAACATTATAGATTCCTTGTGCAATTAAGTAACAGAAAATCCCTAGCTCAGGAACCAACTATTGATCTTAACATCACAAAAAGACAACCAGACATTACGTGCCTCCTGATATGATGCAGAAAGATTCTCACCAAGAATTCAAACTTGGTTCCAATCAGGCCTCCGGAGTTAAGCACTGGTTTACGGTAAACACAGGGGACAGGGGAAGACACTAAATGAGGCTTAAGGATGCAATCAGTAAAATCCAGCATGTGGGGAGACTATAGGGCAAAAAAGAAAAAAAGCCTTCTCTGGACCCTCATTTCAACAAACCAACTACAAAAAAAAAGTCTGTGAGACAATAGGGAAAAAGAGAACACTGCCTAGACATCTAATACTAAGGAAATATTAACTAATTTGTTTTTTAAAAAGTTCTTTTAAAGTTACAAATTGATAAATGTTGAAGCTGGGAATTAGGAACTTGAGAGTTCATGATGATTCTTCTATTTTCTATCCGTGGGCCTGTGTCCCCTTTCCCACAAGTCCCCACACATTGTCCACTTGAGCTGAGAACGATTGTACAGGAGGAGCCTGAGCATTTTAGACAACTGCTCACCTGTCAATGAACTGATCAATAATGACGATATCGCCAGGCTGAATCTCTTCCTTCAAGGAACCGCAAGCTGTGGTCACTATGACATGTGTACAGCCCTCCTCCTTCAGAGCCCAGATGTTCGCCTGATAGTTGACTTTCGAAGGCATGATGGTATGCTGCCTCCCATGCCTAAGGAAAGAGAGTAAATATATTAAATATGGTAGAGGAGTGAGCAGGGCATTTTTTTTTTTTTTTTGCAGTACGCGGGCCTCTCACTGCTGTGGCCTCTCCCGTTGCAGAGCACAGGCTCCGGATGCGCAGGCTCAGCGGCCATGGCTCACGGGCCCAGCCACTCCGCGGCATGTGGGATCCTCCCGGACCCGGGGCACGAACCCGTGTCCCCTGCATCGGCAGGTGGACTCTCAACCACTGCGCCACCAGGGAAGCCCGAGCAGGGCATTTTTAATACTCTTGGAAAAGAAAACTCATTTACAGCAGTGCCTTCCAGCCCTTCCCACCAAAATGCTTTCCTTGGCAGAGGAAGAGTGAGAACAGGCCAGGCAATAACCAGCCTACTTCAAGTATAAACTATGTGGTTTTAAAGTGCAGACTCGGGACTTGCCTGGTGGTGCAGTGATTAAGAATCCGCCTACCAGTGCAGGAGACATGGGTTCGAGCCCTGGTCCGGGAAGACCCCACATGCCGCGGAGCAACTAAGCCCATGCGCCACAACTACTGACCCTGCACTCTACAGCCCAAGAGCCAAAACTACCGAGCCCACGTGCCACAACTACTGAAGCCCACGCGCCTAGACCCCATGCTCTGCAACAAGAGAAGCCACCGCAATGAGAAGCCTGTGCACCACAACGAAGAGTAGACCCTGCTTGCCGCAACTAGAGAAAGCCCACACGCAGCAACAGAAACCCAACACAGCCGAAAATAAAAATAAATAAAGTGCAGACTCAATTTACATTTCATAGTTTACTTTCCTATCAAGAGTAGGTAATAGCTTACTTAGAATTCACTCTCCAGGAAAATATGCCATGTCTATCCTGTGGGGCACCAACACCCCAGAATCTGAGGCATCTGGTATCTCATAAGCCATGACACAGAAAACAAGAGGTGCCAAGGAAGAAACACCCAAAATAGAAACTCAAGTTTCCAGTCTCATCTCTCTATTCTTTTCTGCCTGATCACCCAAAGAAATTAATGAAACATTTAAAATATTAGATTTCCCAGTTGTTTATGATGACATCAGCAGGTATGGTCCAAAAATGGATCACCTCACTCATCATTACTGTTATGGGCTGAATTATGTCCCCTCCAAATTCTTAGGCTGAAATCCGAACCCCCAGTACATCAGAATGTGACCATATCTGGAGACAGGGTCTTTAATGAGGTAATTAAGTTAAAATGAAGTCATTAGAGTGGGTCCTAATCCAACACGAATGGCGTCCTTATAAAAAGACACAGACATACACAGAGAAGAACATGTGAAGATACAGGGAGAAGACAGTCAGGTACAAGCCAAAGAGAGGGGCCCGGAACAGATCCTTCCCTCCCAACCTCAGAGGGAGCCAACCCTGCTGACCCCTTGATCTCTGACCTCTACCCTCCAGAACTGTGAGGAAACAAATTTCTGTTGCCACTCAGTCTGTGGCACCTTGTTATGGCAGCCCCAGCACACTTAACACAATCACTAATGATTTCGTGTCACGCTTCAAACAAAATCCAAACACTCTGCCATGGTGCTCGTATCATCTGGGCCCAGCCTACAAACAGCAACGTCAGTCCTTACCTTTATCCCTTCCCACCGGGGCTCAGCCTCACTGGCCTCGCTGCTTAGCTCCCACATCACCTCCCCAGAGGAGTGCTTTCCACGACCACTGCATCTCCATCACATCACTACCCCTTGACCTTATTTTTCTTTCTGGCACCTATTGGCCACTCAAACTATATATTTCCTTCTCAGTGTCCATCCTTCCCACTAGCATCAGCCCTGAGACGGTGAGGCCCTTATCTGTCTTCCCTGCTGGTGCCTAGAACTGGACTTGCCATATGAGTAGTTCAATCTGTTGGATGAAAAACTGAGTACTTACACACACACTCTTTCCCCCTATCTCTCTCACACACCCACACACACACCCACACCCACACACCCAGTGTGCCAGGAAACAGCCAGTAACGGGAACTTGATTTCTAAAATTACTTTTAAAAATTCACACATTAGAGGGTATATTTATAAGCAGTATTTCACAGAGAGTTAAAATTATCCTGAGCTGCTTGAAAAAGTACGAACATCACAGGTAATGTTCTGCCACAGGAAGGCTAAGTGTCAAGAGACCAGTCGTCTTCACATGTGATAATATAGAAACAGGCTTTCAAGGAAGTAACAACACACAAAAATCTCACTTTGTATGATAATGATTAAAAGTTTGGGCTTTGAAGTAAAACTGCCTGGGTTCAAATCCTAAGTCTGCCACTTACTAGCTGTGTGACCTCATCAAAATCACTCAGCTTTCTCAGCCCCCCATTTTTTTTTTTTTGATCTGTAAAATGGATAATAAAAAACCCTGCACCACAGGGTTGCTATCCAATATCCCTTGTATCATTCCATATTGATATTTTGAAATAAACTTTAATGTCTCTTCTTCACCAACAACAGAATTAAGAATACGGAAATAATTTGTACATAATTGCAGACAAGCATTAGCATATGAGGGTTTTTTACCCCAAGGTCATAAACGACCTCTCAGAAGGTGGAAGTCCATGAATGCCCAGAAAGTATGGTAGTCCCCGCTTATCCACAGGAAATGCGTTACAAGACCCCCCTGTGGCTGCTTGAAACTGCGTATAGTACTGACCTCTATATATGCTATGTTTTTTTCCTATACTAACAGGTGGGTGGTGTACACAGTGTGGATACGCTGGACAAAGGGATGATTCCTGACCCGAGCAGAGGGGGTGGGATGGCACAAGATTTAAAACTTATGAATTGTTTATTTCTAGACTTTTCCATTTAATACTTTTGGACCACAGTTGACTATGGGTAACTGAAACCGTGGATAAGAGGGGACTACTGTACATGCATTTTTTCTAAGGCTGGTCTCCAAATCTCTGATTCGATTTTCAAAAGAAATTCACATATCAAAAGGAGTTAAGAACCACTGCATAAAGTGGTTCACAGTCCGACACACTTCATTTCAGCTGGCAAGAGTATAAAACCTTCACCATGGGGCTACAACACGAACCATTTTCTCTTACAGTCTGGAAAAAATTAAGCGTTTCTCCAGCAATGACCACAGACCAACAAAGAAGGTTGCCTGAAATCAACCCTATGCGACCATCTAGAACTAAAATTTAGTTTTACTGGACTCAGCAAAGCCACTTCCGTTTCAAAAATGCAGTGTGGCAGACAGACCCTAGGGTGGTCTTCATTTTCATGCTCTGAATAATTCCTTCCTTCTCGACTGTGGGCGGACCTGAGATGCTTCCAACCAACAGAACACAGCGGAAGGTGCTGGGAGTCACTCCCATGATCAGGCCCCAGCCTGCCAGCATGCACTACCTGGCCCTCCTGCTGGCCTTGCAGCAGTAAGCTGCTGTCTTGTGAATTGCCCACGGGGAGGGCCACAAAGCAGGGAACATGGACAGCCTCTAGGAGCGGACGGCCTCCGTCCTTCAACCCTGAGGAACTGAGTTCTGCCAACTCCTACATGAGCTTGAACGAGGACCTGGAGCTCCAGATAAGAACAAGCACTTAAATATACCCATGTGACACAATATTTACTTGTGTGACCCCGAAGAGGACCCAGATGAGCTGTGCCCACACTCGGGTTAGCTGGAAACTGTGGGATGATGTATGCTATTTCAGGCTGCTAAATCTGTGGTCATTTGTTATGCAGCAATAGAAAGCTAATACATGCAGTCTGACTAATTTCTAACTGTGTGATAAAATGACTTGCTCTTCTCTTTAGGGAACAGCACGAGCCTTGTCAAGGCAATAAGGGTGTAGACACCACCGAGAACCCACTTCAGTGACCCGAAACCCACTCCCCACAAATCTAGAACTATTACTACACAAGGGGTCATGAATGAAGCAGTTTTTCTTGATCTTGTTAACTAGAAGATAAAAGACAGAAAAGAACAAAAGAAAACATTTCCTCTTGCAGCTAGAACTGAAAGCAGAGCTTCAAGTTTAGTCAAATCATTGCATCACTCATTGGATTGTTCTAAACCTTTTCCCAACCTAAGGGGGGATAGGCAAGATCTTTACTCTCCAAAGTCAGTAAAACCTACCCTGAAACTGTAAGCGATAAAGATGACTCAGATGCTGTGGCTCCACCGACACATTAAAAACTCATACCTGCATCATGACTCTTTTCATAATTTAAGTTAAATTTAAAATGTTCTTTAGTAGTAACATTCAAAAGCTTGAAATACGTTACCTTGCAAGGAGGACGCAATCAACATTCTTTATCTTCCCCAAAATTAAGGCATCAGAAGGCTGCACACAGTGAAAAATGGTTACAAGTCAGTGATTTAAAAACACATATAGAAACAATCAAAAAGCTGCCATTTCAATTGTTCATCTGTAGTAGGAGTCATAGAAACTTGGGGTCTGAGGGTATATTTCAAAGAAGTGAAAGAGTCTCGATTTGATGGATCAACTTAGTCACTCAATATTTACTGAGCCCTCTCTACCAGTACAGAGATTCGTAAGACTTAGAAGCGTGCGTGGGTAGGTACCATTTAGTAAGATCTATTTGTAGCAAGCACCCCTGGGGACTCTGATGCCACACTGATCATACACAGATGTGTCAAGGCTATTTGGCAGGTTCAAGAACAGGTGTGAGAGTGAAATGCAAAAGGAATAGGAGGCCCCTATCAGGGAATTTAAGAACTCAGCACTGGAACCGTTTGCTGTGTTAACCAGGTCTAAGATGGCCACAAGATGACCTCAGGTAATGGAGGAGAAAGTCTGAGAACCTAGGAGGTTAAGAAAACATGAGGCTAAGAAGTGAACAAGCTGACAGCAGGACTTGGAGGATACCAGATCAAATCTAAGGACTTGGCTGAAAAGGAGGGTTTGGTTGGGATTGCCAAATACAGGGATCTTCGTAGGAGATCAGAGGAACCACAGCATTTGGAAGTAGCCCTATGGAGTTAGGAGAAGGCAGACACCCTCACCCTAGCTGGGAGAACTAAACAGCCTCCTTTTAATAGAAAAGGAGGAGTGTTTTATTTCCAATTCAGTTATGCAGTTGTATTCTCATTCCCCCAAAATCCCCCTTTGGGCCAGGGCTTACTAAGAAAAGGCCATTAGATATCTCCTCCCATTTGTTACAGACGGTGGTATGACCGATAGGCCCCAAATTAGAAGCTGATTTGAATGCAGTGATCTGGAGAGTACAGTTCCTGTGTTTGAAATGGGCATCTGGCTTCTAGGGATATAATTAAGAAATTATTTGTACACATTTAAAAGCCATGTTCTCAGTAGTCAAGTCCAAAGTAATCTCAGGGATACTGTCTCAGATGGCAGAGCCCAGTAACAGAAACTCCTGGCCTCTCTCAGCCTGGGGCAGGCAGCCCTGTGCTGCCAAGACAAAAGCAATTTAAAAAAATTTTTTAACTTAAAAATCAAGCCAGCAAGGAGAAAGAAAAAAGCTAGTATGTCTCCACTAACTGGATATTAACCTTGCCAAATGGAGTGTCCACATATTTTTCGGTTCTTCCTTCTAAGATTTCTGGATCATCCAGGCCTGTCCCACCAATTATTCCAATCTGAAGGAGACAATAAAAAGATATCACATTTGATCAGTTTGCAGTAGAAACAAAATCACTATTTTAAGCAAATTCGTTTATCCATACTCATATGCTCTTCTCCATTCCTGGTAAGCCCTAGTTATTTTAAAAATCTGAACATTCCTGAAAAGCAATCATTTATTCAGCAAACATTCAAAAGCCTTCTATATTCCAGAAATAACCAAAGCATGAGTCACCTTTTCAGACTAAATCACATTTTTGCTGACTATCTAAATAACAAATTAGCATGGAAACGTACTTCAACTAGTTTAAATCATAAAGCCAAACCTAAAAATAGGTAAATATGGTTGAAGAAAGTACTTTCTAACCAATTTTATTATCTCTACTAAATGCGTGATGGAATAAATGTTCAAAAAACAACTAGGATAGAAAATATTCAGCATTTCCATTTGGTAAGGATTTCTCCTCATTACCGCACTTGATAAAGAAACGAGAGATTTTCTTTCCTATGCCACTAAAATCAGAGCTGTAAGGGATCACAGATAGAGGAATCTGGAATAGCATGAAAAGTTAACCTCTATATTTATGAAATCCAACTGTCATTCATATACATGTAAATCTAAGTAAGTAATTCAAAGGTCTGTAGTTCCAAATTATTTTCAAGTGTCTTATTGCATTTTCCAGACATTAACTTAATTGTCCTCGTCTTCAGGAAGTAATCTGAGTCTAAAAACCCTGATATTACCCTATAGAGTTAATCTAATTTGATGATTAAGACACCTGAACAAAAACAATTACAAAGATAACTAAATATATTAACTAAACTGTTAACTAAAAATGAAATAACTGAAATCATTAGGAAGGTTTCCCTGGGTTGATACTTCCTAAAGGAAAAATACTATTTAAATTGTCAGCAACAGGCTACAGAGATGAACTAGAAACCTAAGAAAAAGTCACCTGAGCATTTTTTTTTCAATGAACAGCTTTAAATCTATTGTCACTTGAGTAAAATTTCTACTCAGCGGAAGTAGCTCCTTGAGAACAAAACTCCAAAGTTAAAAATTAACTGAACATCTGAATTAAATAATTTTGAGATCAGGTTACACAGCTGATTTATACTAGTATGTGGGAAAATAGTTACCTCTCTGGCCCTATTTCCTAGAAAAATAAATCAACGAAATAAGAAAAAGGGCGATTGAGTAAGATTTTTACAAAGAACTGCAGGTTACATGATTTAGTACTTGGAAAGCATCTCACGACTTCCTCAAGTGGCTAAACCAGTTTTTGAAGTTGCTGCCACCTTGTGGTACATTGTTGAAACCACAGCAGGTTACATATTCTACAGCAAGTCAACATTTTTCTTTGTTACAACTTAACATTGTAGGTAAAGACTAATCAATACAGGACTGCAGTTTTCAAATCAACAGAAGTGTTCACTTAAGTCAGTGGGTTTAAATTCATTTCAGTTCAGTAGAAATTTTTAAAATCGCACTATCTTATGAAATCCTAACCCATCCTCTAGCTGGTGTCTTTATCATTTCATGTAAGGCCGAAGCACCACAGATCATAGTTGGGATGGGGTAGGGGGTGCAATGAACTGTCCAGCCCATGTCATCACCTCAGACCGCCGAACTGAGTTGCTGACTTTGAAATTACTCTCAGCCTACCCTCTGGGGACTCTACTACTCATGGAAACGTCTGGTGTTTTTTTGCTTCCTTTTTTTAAAAAAATACTACCACTCTGACTTGGCTGTTTCTGGCCGTTCCCCTGGGCCATGGCATCTCGCATTCTGGATCTAACACTGGACTCAGACTCGTACATACAAAACAAACCAGACTTGGTTTTGAAACCACCCTCTGTTTAGGCAAGCCAGCCCAGCCTCACAGCAGTGAATAAGAAATGCCAGTTGGGGTCTTGCTGAAGTTCAGTGCCCTGGAGCCCACCCTCAGCAGCCCCAAGCTTCAGCCCAAACCACTCTGGCTGCATGATGACCATGCACTGGGTAGCTGCTAACTCAGCCCTCAGTGAGGAATATTTAGTACTGAGTGTGAGAACAAGAGCCGTTACAGCTCATCAGAAAGGCCAGGATGTGTTCTCTGGCACTGGAGTTATCTGCAGGAGAGCCCGTCCAGTCAAACTGGCTCAAGCTGTTTCTCAAAACCCATATCTTGGAAGGGACACAGGACAAGTGTAGCAACTGAGTACAGCCACACCAGGGAACTCAATCCCTAACCTTTTTCTTGCTGCAGACCGAGGCCAGCAGTGCCAAGATATGGCAATGTCGCCACCTGCTGGCTCCATGGTAAAGTATAACTATGGGACGAAACTCCCAAGCACCAGTGGCCTGTCATTCCCCTCCAGCCTCTAAATTCAAATGGTCAGCTCAGTACCTGCCTTGATAAAGTAACTGTGTCTTTGCATTTACATGTCACAGGCACTGTGGCCAAGTTCTCCAGGGGCCTTACCTCATTTAATTTTCACAACCACCCTGTAAGATGGGCCCTATAGTGTAACACCCATTTTATAAAAGAGGAAAGAGAAACACAAAACTTAAAAGAAATTTGTCCAGAAAGCAAATTATAAAGAGCAAAGCTGGGATTGGAACCCAGGTCTTTCATACTCAACCACTATGATGTACTACCTCCCAGTATCCCCTGGAATCCTTGATAAACACCACAACCTATTAGAAATTTGTCTCCATGTTATGAAGAAACTGATCCTCAGAGTTCAAGTTCTGGACCAAGGTCACAGAGCAAGCATGGAAACAGCAACTCTGGGCACCTGAGTGAACCACCTTGGAAGGGAGGGGGCTGTCTCATGCATACTTACCAGGCTTCCTAGGCCAGAGGCATCGCCCTCAGTCCAAGCAGTCCTAGGAATGCTTAGGAAAAGTGTTCAAGGTCTGAGATGGAATTTCTGGGCCAATTCTGCCCAGCCAGGACTTCTTCACTACACAAGATAAAGTTCTGAAATAAGGACCCCCTGGTCCATCAAGGCCATTGCTAGATTTTAACAGCAAGTTGATTCATCCCACACTTTTCCACTTGCAGACCACCAAGTCAAACTCCTCAAAAAGAAGAGATGGTTTGACTTCCTCTCTGAGACTGTGTAAGCATTTTATCTAAATGTTGGCTTACCCAGCCAGAATGGTTACTTCCAACGATGCCAAAAGGGTTCACACCAACCCCTACCCTGTGTCCACTTCCCCTGGTACCAGCCACAGGAGATTTCACATACCCCACTTGGTTTCAACAGCCGCTCACCATCACTTTATACTACATGGAGGAAACTAGCACCCCATGAAGTGGAGAATTTCATTCTTTTCTTATGGCTAATATTCCATTGTGTATACATATACCACTTCTTTATCCTTTCATCTGCTCATGGGCACTTAGGTTGCTTCCATCAACATTTGTTATTTGTAGACTTTTTGATGATAGCCATTTTGACAGGTGTGAGATGATCTCATTGTGGTTTTGGTTTGCCTCTCTTTGATGATTAGCCATCATCAAAGGGCAGGATTTGACTATTTTTGGAAATAGAGTCTTTGAAGAGGTAATTAAAATTAAATGAGGTCTTGGTGGGGGGAGTGCTAATCCAAAATAACTTCAGGTTCAGAACATCTGTAGTTTTTATTTAACCAACCTCTCCTTGCAAAGTCAAGATATTATTCTAATGGGCAGACACCCTCTTTGAAGATACAGTTCACTTCCGGAAGTGGTCAGTGACTTTTTGAGGAGGATTTTCCTCAAAGCTTACTGTACTCTGTAGCACTCTCCTTCACTTGTAGAAGAACATAGGATTCTTCCTGGTGCTCCTCCTGGGTCAGCTGCTGGATACTAGAATCCCCAGGGGAGCTTTCAGTACCAAAGCCCAGGTCCCAGATTCCAGATATTCTAATTGAGCAAGACAGAGTTGTTATTTTTCTTAAAGCTCCTCAGGTGGTTCTAATGTGTAGCCATAATTGAGCACCCTTGCTCTAGGGCCCAGATCATCAATTTCTAAAATCTGGGCTAGCTGAGCATCATAGGCTGAATAATGGCTCCTGCAAGAGAGCCTGTCAGCATTCTAATTACGAGAACCTGTGCATGTTACCTGTGTGATTAATGACTTTGAGATGGGGGGATGATTCTGGATTATCTGGGTGGACCCTAAATGTAATCACAAGGGTCCTTTTAATAAGGTCGAATGAGGAAGAAGGCGATGTGATGATGGAAGCAGGGGGAGAAAAGGCGATGTAATGTAGGGCCCAGAGCCAAGGAACGCTGGTGATCTCTAGAAGCCGGAAAAAGCAAGGAAACATTCTCCCTTAGATCCTCCAAGAGGACCTGCCCTACTGACATCTTGATTTTAGCTCCATAGGACTCATTCTGGACTTGTGACTGCTAGAATTGTTAAGCGACTACATCTGTGTTGTTCTATGCCATCCAGTTTGTGGTGGTTGTGAGAGCAGCCAAGGAAACTAGTTCACTAAGAAACACCTGAGGAACTTGTTAAAAATGCAGATGCCCAGCCTTTTCAAAGCTCCATGGCCAATGGTTATCACATTTTAGCGGGTACCTGAATATACTGAGGCTCTTGGAAATCCAATTTGCTGCCCACCTCCCTATTTCAGATTCAGCAGGATTGGGGAAGGGCCCAAGAATTTGCATTTCTAACAAATTCCCAGGAGGGTGCAGGTGCAGCACAGGCTTTGAGAACTACTGCTTTAGATGCTTTTGAGGCACAGACTAGAATACCATGATTATAATCACAATCAAAAAACCTTCCTCAGGGATTTCCCTGGTGGTGCAAGGGATAGGAATCCGCCTGCCAATGTAGGGGACACGGGTTCAATCCCTGGTCTGGGAAGATCCCACATGCCGCGGGGCAACTAAGCCTATGCGCCACAACTACTGAGCTTGAGCTCTAGAGCCCATGAGCCACAACTACTGAGCCCACGTGCCACAACTACTGAAACCTGTGTGCCTAGAGCCCGTGCCTCACAAGAGGAGCCACCTCAAGATGAAGCCCGTGCAACACAATGAAGACACAAAGCAGACACACACACACACACACACACACACACACACACACACACACACACA